TTAAGTGAGCAATAATTTGCAGAGCTTCCTCCAAGTCGCACTGACAAACACCATTAGATTTGGCACTTTCTGGACTCACTATTGTGCTATAATGCAAATTATTTTAGTGTTTGGCTTCAGTGTTTGCTGTTAAACTGAACAACTGGCTACTGGTTACTCTGCTGCAGTGATAAAGAATCCAGAAACTGTGCAACTGAGAAAACAGTCACAGTGATTCATCCATCACAATGTATCTTTTCAATGTCATGTTTTTTCACATTTTTTCAGTCTTTTTTGAGCAAGATTTGATACTGTTTGTTATTTGGGGTTCAAATCTGTCATATGCTTTCCTGCGCATGTAAAAGCAGACAAATGCATGTGAAAACATGACAGACTGTCTCACTCACAGACCTGTTGCAATGACTTATTTACTATCAGAAGGTGTGGTTCAGAAAACCATATAAATTTGGTTAGTGGAAGGACACAGGCAAATTGACTTGCTTCAGTGCTTACTGCTCATGCCTCATGGTTCTTAAAAAACTGCATCATGTCTGATGATGATTTTCTAGGGTTTTGGTAAGGCAAACTTTGAATGGACAGTTAGATACAGCTTGAGACAAAAAGACTGATGAGCCAAACAGAGAGCTGATGTTTTCAAATATTAGTTGTACTAATGAGAGATATTTCTTCTCCTGTATCATCTTACCATTCTTCATTTACATACAGCATACATGTTTTCCTCTTGTGGTCTTGTATGATATACAGATATATAAAGATACAGTAGCAGACCAATTACTGCTAGAGTTTAAAAGCATCATTGCAAGTGTTATTTAAAACACATCTTTCCAATTTTGGTGAAATATCCATTTAATGCTTTTGCAGCCTGGCTTTAATTCCCTAAATGATGTCACATCCACCTCAACTCAAAGTAATAGTTTTTCTTTATATAGCTTATTTCCACGTCTTCACTCTAACACATGGATTTTATTTCCTATACAGAGTATTACTATAATGATCAGCTTTCATTCTCTCCAAACAAATATTCAGTAAATCTGCCTCCTATGTATTTACATTTCTTCCTCATCTATTTTCCTAAATCACTACCTATTAAAATGTGCCTGGAAAAACATTTCTTTTTCACTTTTTGTGTGTGCTTTGCAATCAATTTTTTTTCAGAGTGAAAGTAATGTCAGACATCACAATGTGCTTCAAAATTATACTAAGTCAACCGTCACAGTACAAATTGTAATAATAAGTCTGTTTTTCGATTTTTGTCCCTTCTTCCCATCAGCAATTTCTCTACTGAAGAATATTTCAGGTGAATCCAAGTACGCTTCACTTGTCAAATGTGCCATCTTGCTTTTAGCATAACCTCAGAACTGTTGAGGGAAGACTGCAGCTAGGTGGCAGTGTGCCAAACAAAAGAACCAACATAAAAAGATGATTTCTAAAGATTCGTGACAGAGCATGCCCTAAATAGCATGAAAATCTGAACAAAAACAAGTTAATGGCACATAATCCATAATATCATTGCAATTGACATGTTGTGGCCATGTGGTAAATAGAGCCAGGGTAATTATAGTTTTGTATTTCTCCTAGGTTCTAGGAGCAACTCTGCCCTAACCATTCTCCATTTATTTTGTAAAACAGAAATGGTGCCATCTGCCTTGGTCTGAAGAACATTGTAAATACATGTTTTAACTTAAGATTCTCACTGAAACAAGAAAGGTACATGACGCAAGTGTGAATGTTTACTGACAGGTAAATATGAAATCGAACATAGTATACAGCCTTCTCCTATATGTATAAATATATATATAGAGAGAGAGAGATAGTTACTAACTGAGAGCTATAGTTACTTAGTTACTTAGTGAGAACTGTTGGTGATAGGTGGATGGTTGGACTGGATGATCTTGTAGGTCTTTTCCAACCTTGGTGATTCTGTGATTCTGTGGTTCTGTGAAATGGCATACACAGTCCCTTGAGGTTGGCCAGAACAAAAGGATAAGTCAGGTGTCCTGCGAAGTGAAAAGAATCCTTCTGCACAGATAACTATGCAGCTCCAGCACTGCTCTGCAGTAGCACAGCCTAAGGGTTAATGGAGCTTCACACTTGCTTAATGAACCGTTTCAGTCTAAGGACTACAACATGTCCAATGACGAATTTGCTCCCCCAGTAGTCAGAAAAAGAAATCCCACTCTGTACAACAGCTTTGTTCTTTCCATGGCCTAACTACATGGTTGAACTGCCTTCTGCGTACTTACTATGGACAAGAAAGGAAGAAAGGATGGTATGTTCATCTGTAAACTACCTTGACCTTCCCAACTGTTTTTTTGTTTGTTTGTTTGTTTGTTTTTTGTTTTTTTTTTTGCATTGGCTCTGTACTGGAGTTGCCTTAATACTGGCAAGCACTGGCTGCTACCTTTGCTAGTGCAGGATCTGTTACCGTTTCTGCTTTAAACTCCATCTTGGCTGAGACAACCAATCATTGCAGAATGAGGTATGACTTTCCATTGTTAAATGCTTTAGGCACACTACTTTTTTTTTAATCAGTTCATCCAGTTTAAGCTTCCAAAGCAGAAACAGCAGTTAAAGTTTCTTTTTATAGTTCTGTACTTTAAAATCAACTTTCACATGAAATCTAAAGCTTGTCCTGCTGTAATTAATGATCTGCCCAAAAGACACGTTAAATATATCTATCTATTGTATGAATTGGTGTGTTTTTAGTGTGTGTATAATACATAATGTTTTTTGGTTTTTTGTACACAAGCAATCCAGGAAAATGCCTTTTTTATTGATAGGTCTTAAAGCTGGAGGGTCATCACATTATCACAATCAGAAGACAGCTTCCTTGCTTGAGTATCAGGAAGACAGGAAAAGATTCAGAACATCGTTTTGCTGAAAACCCTTTGGGTTTTGTTTACTACCCTGATAAAATCCAAAGATGGGTTCAGAATAAGTGACTAAGACTGCGTGCCAAGATGTGAAAACCTGCAAGAAATCTTAGGGTCCAAACAGCCTTTTGCAACAACAGCACCTCCCTAATACATTACCAAACTGGCAGGTGTTTTTCCTTTTCTCTTTGTAGAGAATCAGGGACCTATAAGAAAATAAAATATGAAAAGAAAATAACCATAAAGTCTACTTTAAAAGCACAAAAGTAAGAACTATCCAATCCTATCACATCCTTCTTTTAGTCCTCCAGCTACTCTTCTTCCAAAAATTCTTTAAATTAAAGAGAAGCACATTTAATGTTTCAAAGAAAGTCACTAGCAGAACAAATGTATTCATGAAAATAAACAAAATTCAAAGGAGGATTTTTAAAGTTAAACTCTCATTACAAATTTATCTGTCCACTTTCAGATATCTTGTGCAACTGGAAAAAATCCTCAACAGAAAAGGAACAAACAGCATTTGCCTTGCTTTCTAGAACAAACAAAATATGTGTGTAATGGCCTCAGGTTATATAAATACTATTTCCCTATGCTTATGAGAAATATTTACTTCTTTGTTGACTAAAACTATTCTGATACCCTTGGCAGAGAATGTTCGTGACTCTAAAGTCATGAAGTACGGATGCCTAAAAACCACTATTTTGCCCCAGAATAAAGTAAAATATTCAGAGTTTATCAAACCATTAGCATGTATCCATTCAGCACAACAGAATCATGGGGTGGTTTGGGTTGGAAGGGACCTTCAAGGCCATCCATTTCTAACCCGTTGTCACGGGCAGAGTTGCCACGCAGAAACAGAACTACTGCTACTTTGCAGAGACATTAGACATGGGAAGTCTGAGATTTGGGTTGGAAAAGGTCACCCTACTGCACACTGATTCTTGCAGAATTTTTCTACTTGGCCATTTCTTCCTGTAAATCTGTGCTTTCAACGACTGCTCTCATTAGCTTAGAATAAGGTGATGCTTGGGGAAAGCTTCCCACCAGCCCATAGGCCTAGATTGACAAAGCATTCAGCCTAATGAGCAAGAGAGCAGATTCCTTCTTTATTAATTTAAGTAGAGCACTTGAGCTCCAGTGCAAGGTCCTTCTGCAGCTCAGGTTACATCCAGTGATGTCCAGAGGTGGGAATAGGGATTAGAACCTGGGTGGTATGTAAAAAACAGTATTTTGCCAGCCTTTTCATTAGGCTCTCATTTCAGACTTAATTGTAGATTCAGAGACGGCGTAGCTGAAAAGCTTTAACTAATTCTCTGCGGTGCACAGCAAGCAGCTTGACCAACCATCCAGCCACCAGTTTAAACAAGATTTAGGCTGGAACGTGGCTATTAATCCGGTTGCGAGTCCTAAGCCTGGAGCCCGTGGTGCGATTTAGAGGGGGACAAAAAAGAACAACCACAACACCGATGCGGCACAACAAAAAGGCTCAAAAATTTGCCATCCTCACCGCTCCCTCGGTTTTGAGAGAAAAAAAAGGAGGCAAAGAGGGGGCCAACCGCCATTTCACGACCGCTCCCCTCCCGCCGCTGCCCTGAGGGGAGCAGCTGCCCCGAGGGAGCTCCCGCCCTCAGGCGAGCCCTGAGGCGCCGCGGCCGCCCCGCCCCGGGTACCCCCGCCTCCCGCCTCTCCCCGCCCGCCCGCTCGCTCGCACGGCGACGCGGGCAGGGCCGCCGCGCTACGGCGGGCAAGGCTGGGGCGGCGTCAGCGGGCGCGCGGTGCCGGCCGCAGGGCTTTAAAGCAGCGTGTAAGCTGAGATGCTACCACAGACAGCGGCGCGGCGGCGGCGGCCGCAGAAGCTCCACGAGCCCAGCCGGCCGCGGGGCGCGCGAGCCGGGACCCATGGCGACGTCCCGCGCTGCCCGCGCCCTCCTCCTCCTCCTTCTCCTGCTCTGCCTGCCCGCGCTGCGGCGGGGGGCGCGGGGCGGCGGGCAGCGGCCGCGGGGCTGTCCCGCGCCGTGCCGCTGCGAGCAGGAGGGCATGCTGCTCCGCGCCGACTGCTCCGACCTGGGGCTGACGGCCGTGCCCGCCAACCTCAGCGCCTTCACCTCCTACCTGTAAGTGCGGGACGGGAGGGGGCGACTTCCATAAGCGCCGAGCGGCTTTTTTTGAGCGGCGGGCGGGCTGTTTATGGGCGTCTCGCCGTCTCCGCGCCCGGTGTCTGTAGAGGATCGCCGTGCGATGTGCCGTTCGGAGGGTAATTAACAGCGGTTGCAACAGCAGAAAGTCGATTCGATCCGTTGGGACGTTATCTCTACCTTCTCTTCCCGGGACGGCGCCGTGAGCGGCGGCTGCCGCCGGTGTAAGAGCGGTTAGCGGCTGAGAGCGGCGCAGGTGGCCGCGCCCGTCCCGCAGCCGCCGCTGTGCCCCGGGCACTGCCGCAGGGAGCCCCGCGCCGGCGCCAGGTGAGCTCCGCGCTGCGCCGCGCCGTGCGGGGCGGCCGGGACAGAAAACCGCTGCATTTCTTGTAATAACAATAATAATCCCAGGGAAACTTTCTTTCTTTGCTCGCTTTTGAGTGGGCTCGTCGTTAAGCCTCTCTTGGTTTTGTGCTGGTGTCCTAGTGCCCTTCGTGCTGATTTCTCCGCGGCTGTGTGTCCAGTAGCTTGTTAGTGGGATGCTTCTCCTTATCCAGCGCTTCTTGTGTCTGCCTTGTCCACCTGTGTGTGACTGCTGACATCCGCGCTACTATGGTTGCTGTGAAGATGCATTCCCAGGGCTGCGTGCCTGTGTGGTCCTGACGTGGTAATTCTGAGCTAACTTGTCACTGCTGTGCTTCAGAGGGCATAGAACACACGTTGCATCTGGGGAAGTGGATGGAACTCAGCTAGAAACGACAGACGTGACAACATAGGCAAGGAAGAAATGAAATTCAACCAATAAAACATGTTTTAGGAGAGACCTTAGTTGAGAGCAAATAGTGGCTTTGGAAGAGGGTGTGCAGCTGAAAGCCTTTTCTTTCCGCACATCAATACTGTTCTGGAATTTATCTTTGTAAGATCAATTTTAGCTTATTTTATCCTAAACATTTCAAAGTCAAAGCTATTGGTAACGTTAAAAGGCGGAAGCCCATGATATTTAATGGCTGCTTACAGCAGAGCAGAACTTGGCTACACACAACTGAAATGCAGTCTTTAAGATGCGCACAGAATTTTTCAGTGGTTTCTCAAGCAGCAGGTGAGGATTTGGGGCACGCACATGACTCAGTACTTTCTTGTGCTTCGGAAAGTCATTACCAGAGAGATAGGTAATGAACGTATAATGGCATACGTATTCAAACTGTACATGTGCTGTGTCAAGAAGAAGATCCCCTAAACTCAGTACTGCTTGTAGGAATGCTAAAACTGAAAAACAAACAAACAAACAAAAACCCCACAAAACAAACCAAACTTCTGAGAGCCTACTGTTTGACTGTTTTATGAAGAGAAAGAGAACATAAATACGCGTGATGATGTCAAAACACGACTGCTGTGGACGTCTGCTGTTCAAAAGCTGTGTGTCTCCAGCAACATGCTTCTAAGCAGACTTATGACCTGCTCCACACTTTTGTTTTCTCAATCCTCTTGTCCTTTAGTGGGAGAATGTCCTTCTTCAGTCAATAATTTTGCTCTGCTCAGTAGCATGCAGCCTAAGGTGTAAAAACTCCACTGCGGGGCAGGCAGACTTCTAAGTGACCTAGGCTGTTTGCATGCAGTGCGGTAGTCAAGTGGGTAAAAGACTGGTGCATACACTGGTGCATCCACACTTACAAAGCTGTTATTCTTGGATTGATTAATTATTGCCTAATTATGCAGAGCTGTAGCTCCTGACTGCCTTCTGTACAGAACTGCCAAGACTCATTTTCTTTAGATGGCTTAGCAATGGTAAATTTTAAAACATGCCTGCTCGTTATAGAGATGTTTCCTTCCTTAAGCTTTGTGGTGCCCAACCAATTGCTTCTTGATTTATTCTTTTGCCTTTGGTTTTGTTTTCCGAACAAAACAGAAATGTTTTTTTTGTGTTGTGATGATTTTTGCTTTAGAATAAAGCAGGAGGTTAAAGCTTTATGCTCAAATTAACTCTCTTTCCAGCAAAGAACATCTTCTCTGGCAGATTCCCCCATAGTACAGTGTATACATCTGGCCAAAAACTGCCTGTGGTATTACCTTATGCTAAAATTGTGTTTTTGTAGGGTTTTGGTTTTTTTTTTTTTTAATTTATTTATTTCTATCATTCATGTCTCATTCACTTGCATAGGGGAAAAGAAAAAAAGATAACGATATCTTCTTGTGTGCTGGATATTGTGTGAAAATTTCAAATGCCAAGGCCACATTTGTCTTACGCTGGGACAAACATGTACAGATGATGATACGTCATGGTGCCTAGATTCTGCTTTTTTGCATGAAGGTGCTCTTGCAGTAAAGCCAAATGTAGTCTACAGCTGGACCTGTTGTATGTTTCCGCATTCTCGTATAAAGTTTCAATCCTTGTTTCCCCATCAAAAATAATTTCATTGATGGTTTTCTATCTGCTGCCATGAACTGTTAGACTTTTTAAGAACGGACAAGGAGAATCCAGGAGTTTCTTGCTGTTTCTTCTTCATTTGCTTCTAGGCTAAATAATGTACTCAGTGTATGTAACGCAATTCCCATTGACATTAATGTGAATTCCATGTGCTGGTGAAGGGCAGCACTGAGTCTCTGTTTCAAATTAAGAACATGTCACTTTCCTATCAGTACGCAGTGAAAAGAAGAAGCCAGGATCTACAAGTCTTTGGCACATGGGACCTCATTAATTCTCAAACCAAGCCTGCGAGTTAGTGAAGTATTATTACCGTTTATTGTGATGTGGAAAACTGAGGCAAAGAAGGGGTTGCTCAAAGTTAAAGTTTATGACAAAGTCAGTAATTAAAGCCAGAATGCCTTATCCTAACTCCATTCTTTAACCACAGGCTCAGCCTATTTCTCCTACATAACTGCTCATTAAAAATAGCGTAAGATTTGCCTACTCCTGTTCAAGAATATTTAATATGACAAGTATATTAAAAAAAACCTGTTTCATATCTCTTGCGATGACAATCCAGAATATAGTATTTAAAGATTCTGAGGGTCTTTGTTATGTGGTTGGGTAGCACAGAAAAGAAAATGAATCATAAATGCCAGTACAGTCTGACAGTTCAGCTGCTGTGTTCTTCATGATCAGAAACTTTCCATGGGGCCCTTAACAAGAAACTCTTCAGTGGAATATTTTCATAATGTTACAATCTTGGATTGATATAGATGTGTTTGCATACATGTGTAACTATCACAGGGTATGGTGTATTACCTTTTCCATCATGGTTTACTTAATACGTTATTTTAGGATAAGTGTTAATCACATTTTAAAAATGCTACTTTTAAGTACATTGTAAATCTGCATAGTAACATTTAGAAAAATCTGGTTCGCGTCATTGTTAATCCTTTATAGGAATTACTTGTTAAAAAGATATTCTTTTTTAAAACTATGTTAACACTGATAGTATTACAGTAAAGCCTATGAATATCATAAGTTTTATAATATATTCCTCGGATAAACTTTGGCCTTCTGTTTCATACATTCCCATAATGTTGTATTAAATAGTAATTATTCCTGTAAAGCACACTCGAAGCTTTTGAGGATCTTTGAAAGTGTTTAAGAGAACTCAACATTAAAAACAAACAAACAAACAAACAAACAAAACAAAACAAAAAACAAAAAAAGACAATTCTAGGAGAAAAATTATTTATCTTGGAAGGTTAAAAAGTACATTTGCATAAATTATCTGTACTTCTGAAATGAGACGGTTGCTTCTGTGTTGGGAATATACGAAAACATGAAGCCAGACTCTTTGGGGTAAGTTTGACCTATTTTATTATCACATTCTAATATCACAGTGCAAAGATCTGTATACCTCTTCATCTATTGTACCATGGGAATGACTGCAGTGTTTCAGGGAGATCAGACAGCGAGGTATCGTCTTAAGCAGGAGCAAGCTCTTTAAAGTCTCTTGCAACTTGCAGATCCCTTGACAAGTCTGAGGTGTTAGGTTGCTAGTAAAATGCCTGCCTTTCCTTAGAGAGGATTTCTTTACATACCTACAAACTTTATAAACCATTTTTTTCCTTTCTAGTTGAAATACTAGTTAAATGTTCAGCACATGGTTTCAGGTCATAATCTTAGTCTCGTCCTAGTGAGAGATGAAGGTAAATCCAGATTCTGGGTTTAGAATTTAGTGTTACATTCCCTTTTTGAAACAAAACAGGCCATTTCCTCTCTGCTCGTGGCAATGGTCGGTGTAGAGAGGTAAAATGTATGCACAGGTAAATCAGAGATGCATGAAAACCGGGGAAGTAACAACCTATTTAATGTTCCTGTTCATCAGCTTCCAAGGGACTTGCTTTAAATTTCAAAACATAATGTGTCAACTCTCAGCTAGTTTCTTTGTGAAAAAATTTAGATTGAGTTTGACAGTGTCACTCTTCACACTTGAGAATACGGTGCTCAAATTAACTCCTTATACTGCTTTCAGTATAAAGGCTGGGCAGCCTTGTGCTGCTCAGAGGGAGAAAAAGGCGCTCGCACTACCTCTCTCCTTTGTAGCCTTTACTGTGTGGAAATGCTGCATAAATTGACAGGGAAAAGGAAGCTGTCTTTAGGCTGGTAAAATACAAGGAGCTGGCAGGGTGGAGGCACCTTCAGTTCGGTTTGGTGTCTGAAGTGCATGGGACAATTGGCCGGGCAGAGGGGGCCCGACTCCAGCTGGGAACGCGTGCTCCAGGCTGACCTTCCCAGCCAGCATGCCAGCGGAGATTAGACTTCCCTCAAGTGCTCCCTTGTTAACCCAGTCTTTGCTCTGACATGATTTGTCTTCCAAATGTATAAAATTGCTACTAGTTTTGCTGTCTAGACCTTTCTTTTCTTCTGTGTTTGCTGGCCAAAGATAATATTTCATCCACATGCACCGCTTTCCTAATTCTCTGTTGGTCATTTAAGTGGTCTCGATTAATGCAATTTATGGTATTTTCCTTCACTTACTTCCTTGAACTGTCCAGCAGATCTGATTCTTTTCCCAGTAAAAATCATGGTAAATAAGGTGTGGTTCCTTTGGCTCTGAGTAAACCGACTGAGGGCAGAACATGATGTGGTGTTTTTGACATACCAAAACAGCTTTAGACTTCAGCTCAAAGAAAATACCCTAACGTCTTTAAAAAAGAATGAGATGTGATCAAAGCGTGCTTACTCCTCAGAGATTTAGCAATTCAAGTGGCAAATCCTTATGCTACACGCTCTGTGCTGTTTGCTGAGGAGGCCTGAGTAATGTCTGTGCTCTTCTGCTGATCAGGTGTGGGAAAGTTAATGCCTGGAGAACTGTAGAAGAAATAAATGTAGCTGGGGAGGGGCAGGGTCT